TGAAGTTCATACTCAAGGTGATACTGCTAGTGAAACAATCACCAACCCAAGTGGCCAAGGAAGAAATAAAGGACATCCTTCAAAAAGGCGTCGCCTTGGGAAAAGAAAAGCACTACAGCTTATTGATGAAGTTGAAGAAGATGAAGAAGATGATATTATTCTTCGAGATCCTATTAGAGATGATTTTTCCATCGATTCTGAGGAAGAGAATGAAGGAAATGCAACATCTTTTTATCCTAATTTCAAGCCGTTAGACACTGATAAACTTTTTTTCAATTCTTCAATTTAAGCTCATCACTTCGAGCAAAATTATGTCTGATTCCATGTTAGACTTTGTTATGTTTGCGATGTATTGCTTTGACAATATACTCTTTTCATGTTTTTGGATTATTTATGTTATACATTATGTTCTATCTTTGGTTTTATATTATTTTGTGAATGTTTTTCAATTTAAAATTGAGGCTTACGCCCCAAAACGCCTCAAGGCTTACGCCTTACGCCCTGAAATGAGAACGCCTCAAAACCGCAATACGCCTTTTCGAACATTGTTACTAAGTACTTGAAGTTTTAAAATCGAGAGAAGAATATTAGCTAATCTTCTTCTCATTAATCACATGCATTTCTATGTATATTTGATGTGTGACTGTGTGTAGTTATAAACTTGGTATTGGCCACAAGTATGTCAATAATTTAACTTGCAGTAACATCCATTATTATCAATAGTGTTTTGTGGCTATTGTACTGTGACTCTAGAATAAATCTACTCATTTAACCTATTATAAAATCTTTAACTAGCAACAGTAAAGTAGTTTGATGCATTGCGCCATTTAGTTCTTTATGCCAAGATTCTGAATTCTCGTATTGGTACATCTTATATTTCCATATATATATTTTACCCATTAGATCTTGGTTAGTAAACAATAAAGTGAACTATTTTTTCTTCATATAATTGTGGTTGTTTAATTTGGCAGAAGCGCCCTGGCTCCCCAAAACAGCATGATAAGCCAACTTCTAAGCCTCCACTCCCAAATAGTGGTGTATCACAGATAAGGAAAGGGGCATACCATGAGTCCCTTGATTTCGTGCAATCATTATTTGATACTTCTTATGGGTTGGTAGATGTTTTTCCCATTGAAGATCGCAAAAGTGCTCTCTGTGAGGTTGTTCTATGCAGTACCACTTTTATGTTTTTTTGATTTGTTTTTTTAGTAGCAATATCACTGACGGTGTTTGTAATTCTAGTCTCTTGCTGAAATCAATGCGCATTTAGTTGCTGCTCAAAATAGTGGAGGTATTTTTTTAATACCTTTTAAGCATAAAATCCCATAATTATTGTCTGAGTTCCTCCAGGCTTCAGAGTATTGGGCTTTCTTCATTGAGGGTTCACTGCTTCTGTTTCTGTTAATTTTAAAACTTTCTATTCTTCAATTCTTCAATTTAAGTATGAACTGGGGAAAATATATCAAAATCTACACAGAATAGTTTCCTAAAGTTTTATTTATCTCCCTCTGTTCTTTTCCCTTAGCATTCACTGTAGTTCCTATCACGTGGTGTGGTGTGCTGTGTGATACTGTGATACCGTACTAGTGATATCAATACCCATTGCCATTGACAATGAGGGTGCGTTCTATCTCTGAACAACATATCTGTAAAGTGGACAGCGAAAATAGAGTTGTCATCAAAGAGACAAAGATCTTGCAGGGATATATTATTCAGGATTATGTTGCATTTTATCAGGTTAACAATTGATGTTGAGATCACGTAGATACTTCATCATATCAAGCCATTTGGATTTATTTGCTAGTCGCTATCAAGTTATTTGTCATTGTTTTAATCCTTCTAATATATTTTCATTTGTTTACTTTCTTCATCCTAAAAAATATATATATGCGTGGATGAAGACTCCTAACTTAAGCTATTTACAATTTCATTTTTTTTGCATTGATTTAGTTTCATTAATTAAATTTAGATATCAAACCTCATTAGAAAGTTATATGGATAGCTATAAACTGATTTTGAAATTAATAGAACTAGTTAGATAAATTAAGCAAAAATGAATTGGATTAAGCAATGTGTGATGTATGTATCTTACAAAGATAGACAAAGGGAATAATTGATAGAGCATATTAGGTTAATTCATTCACCATGTGCAGCAGTTTTTGTTGCATCCTCTCATTCTATTTTTTCTTGGGTTATGTTGCAGGCGTATGTTTCCCCATGGGAAAGGGAATGTATCGTGTTGTTCATATACCCGAAGATGAAGCCGTTCTCTTGAATTCTAGGGAAAAGGCACCTTACTTGATTTGCGTTGAAGTTTTAAAGTGTGACACTCCTAGGTAAACACCTATTAACTATGTAAAGTAGGCATGCACCTTTACTTTTTTTTGAAGTACCTGGCTCTGTGTATGTGCAGTTTAATTTTGACATACTTTTTTAATTGTTTGTGCGACTAGCAGTTTTAAAGATGCTCCAAATATGCAAAAGCTTTCGAAGGGAGGGATTCCCCTTGCAAATGGAGATGTTTTATTGCCAAAACCACCACCTTGGGCATGCCCTTTGTGAACGGGACATGATACATACCACAGTGGTTATGATAGGATGTCAAGATCTACTTCACAAGCAATAGACCAAGCAATGACCCAGTTATGGGAGGCTAAAGTCAAATTTGTTTGAATCAATCTCTCTGTAGAGATGCAATCAGACAGCATATCTGGTTTTTGTGACCAAAAGAAAGAGGTTGGAGCATATCAAAATTCAATGGATGGCTGTGGCTTCGAATGGCTTCGAGTGGGTTACTTTGACATCAGAGCCTGGTGTTAATATGGATGATATAGTGGATCAGGAACCACCACGTCGGAAGGAGCATCGCCGCGTTCCAAGTACTGTAGCTATTGAGGAAGTTAAGGTAACCTTGTGACCTATCTTGCATTTGTCCCCCCCTCAATCATGTATGCGCATTTGCTAAATGCTAATCTGTTCAGCACTAAGTCTCATTCTAAATTTTGATTGGTGTGAATTGGGAACGACACCAGTATCTGGCTTCTTCTAAATGATATTTTAAAATCCATATGGGGGATGACCTCTATATTAATTTTCATTCATGTGGCGGATTGTTGGGAAAAATAAAGCAAAACAGGCTTACGGGCGGCCATTTTTGGGCCTAAATATCAATATGCTCCAATAATGGTTTGGGCCGTTACCAAATGGAAAAAGTGTTCTACTGTGAGACAAACTTTTGATATATTCGTAGTAGAATTACATGTGACTACACATAGTGAGATTGTCTTTTGAACGAAATCGTTTGATTGCCTTTCTCATATACTCAAGTATATTATTAATTTATATGCAATGATTTCATTGGGCGGGGGACAGAGTGGTGGTGGTGGTTTAAATGCAGGCGTTGGGTTGGAATAAAGAATGAGATTGAGAATTTGAGATGGTATGAGTTTAGTTGATTGATGAAATCAGCTGCTTGGTTTGATTTTGAAAACGATGTTCTAATTTTTCGATCACAATTCATTAGCTGACTTAGGAATGTCATTCTAATGATCTGAACCTGGTGTTCGTATTTCCCAGAAATTGTTGCCAAATCAGAAGGGATTGTGGTATGGGGTATGGGTTTGAGGAGGGTTTAAGGAATGAGTGCTATGATTTTTTTGTGTGTACTCAAATCTATAAGCAGAAGGTGCTTAAGTGAGATTGTTACTGCTAGCGAACAACAACACAATTTAATTCGATCCTGTTAGGGTATGGAGTACAATATGTAGACTGTCATACCCTCAATATGCACACTAGCCTCACCCTGTTTTAGGCGGTTTCAGTTAGATCCTTTATGCATTGCTGCATTTAAACCCAAATGTTCATCGACAGTAAATAGCGAAGGAAAATGTGCCATTATGATTTAGTCCATTATTTACCTTAAGCTAAGACATTGTTAATTGTAGTTAACTGAACGTCACAAAATTCGATGACCGGACTAACCAAACAGATCAAGTCGCTAGTCCGTAGAGCCAAGTTGATCCTCTTCCAAGTCGCTCTTCTTCTACTAGTCAGTGACTAGTCAACTAAATAACAACCCTGGCGAGGACTAAGCATTAGGTACCACATTGTCACTAGAGCCACTTGCAGTAGAAGTTGTCTCCTAACTACAACAAAACAACAGAGAGGCTGTTCCACAAGACTCTTCCAAAACATCTGATTTTTAACTACATATTGGATTAAGTAGTGAGTGAATTACGCTTCCCATATTTGGGCCTGACATAAGGAGTGCACTCGAAATTGAAAAATGTGATAACATGCTAAAATAGTAGAATCTTTTGCCGTGAATGGAATTGTTGTTTGATTTATTCATGACTTTCCCCTGGATATTCTAGAGTTACTCTAGGGTTCTGTTCTTTAGATTTACTATGCTCATTTTCAATTTTATGTTATTTTATTGCTTTGCATAGTTCTTCTTAAAGATATATGGCTATTTAATGCTAGCAAGTGTCATTCTAATCTTGTTCCTATGTAATGAGCTTTGCGCATATTTCCTGTTGCAGGCAGCAGCATTAAAAGGAGAAGCACCTCCTGGACTCCCTTTGGACGGGGCTGGTCAGGATTCCGATGTGCAGCCAAAGGTGAAGACTTGTAATTATGCCTTTCTGGAAGGTGAATAAAAGTGATTCAAGTATTGTAGATAATGAGCTGAGCTAAAACCAGGTTTGTAATGGTGGTCTTCCATTACATGCGATGCACTATCCGGTGAACTATGGGAGGTAAAGAAGGAGAGAATACGCCAAGCCTCTGCATATGGGAAACAACTTTGTTGGGACCTACTCTCTGTAAGTTAATACTTTGTTAAGATCATAATTTTTGACCTTGTGATGCTGCACGCTTCTGTTCATTCAATATACTTTTTATATTTGAGCATGACTAGTATATAAAAAACGTGGAGTTTTTTGACACCCACCTTGTGTGTCTTGCTGGGTTTGTGGGAGGTGTTTTTGGAGGGGGGTCCACTTCAAGGCCCAACGGAGCACCGTAGGATTGCCAAATGGGCCGTTGTCATATTATGACACAAAAGGTGGGTGTCAAAAGAACCATATGGAGACCGAAAGGACCAATTCAATGCTTAAACTAAGCTCAGATTTTAATTCTGGTGACCATTCCAGTTGTTTACCCAAATCATTTTGGAATAGTTTCTTACAACATCACTGTCCACCTTCTATTTAGATTTGGAAAGTTCCTCAAATTGAATAATTTCTTACCATGGTACAAAACCAATATCCACCTTCGTAAGATTTAAAAAAAAACCATTTTTGGTGAATTGTTGTAGATTCAATTTACAGGTTTTATATATTCAATTACAGATTCTTCAATTATTGTTTAGTGGATTCTTCACAAACATCAGGTGAAACAATTAAATTAGAAGTTAAATCCGTTTTTGAAGATGTCATCTAAGGATATATGCTATCACCTGGAATGGGGCTGACAGCATCGGCCGATTGTTCCGAAGTACCAACTTCCGATTGGTCGGAAATGCCAAACTTCCGATTGGAGAGGGCGAGAGTGGAATCCGTCTGGAGTGGAGATTGTTGGAAGAAGATGATGGAAAAGAAGATTGGAGAGGAAGAGAATCAAATCGGGGACGGCGAGTCACCTCTGTTACGCGACTCATTAGAAAAAAATACAGACTATGGATTGGACTTGGGCCTTGGACTTGTGGAGTGTGGACTAGGGAGTATTTTCGGTCTTTTCGGTCTAGACCGATTGGGAATCTGATTTAGACCGGACCGGACCGAAACCCGAAATGCTAAATATGTTAGACTGAAGACCGATCCGAAATCTATTCGGTCCGGGTTCGGTCTGGACCTATCGATCCGGTTCGGTCGGATTTTTCAGTCTGGACCTAAATATGAACACCCCTAACCACAGATGTGTAACATTGCGTGTCATATTGTTCTTAATGCAAAAACAGAAAAAGAATTTAAGAAGAAGATAGATGATGAATATCAGGTGAACACGTACGGAGAACAATTAAAAGTTTTCTCTTGATGCTGTTTTTGTCAACTGTTTGATAGTCAACGGTCTGTGATTTAGTACTTGAATATAACAGGGTTGAATTCTTTGCATTCGGGAATCCACGAATGTAACTTGAATGTAAAAGGAATGTATATAACAGGGTTGAATTCTAATTTGGTGGTCCATAGTTTTGCCGTTCGGGAATCCTTTTCGTAGTAGGACTTTGGCAATATTTTGTTATCCTTGGTTTGGATTTGGATTTATTGTTGCTCCATATTAGTTTAGGTCGTGGAATAAGTTGGCGGGTAATTCCCTGTTATAGCAATGCTTTGTGGTGTTTTGGAATTAAAATACTTTTTATTCTAATTTGTTTTTAGCCATGCTCCATATTTCAGCCATTCTAATTAATTGTATGAAGTTCATGTTTTTTGAAGAGGACGCTGAGAAGAAGATAAAATGGAGGAGAAAGTGAGGTATTTTAAATATGTATCCTCTTAAGATTCTAATGTATTTCTTCAGCATTGCCCATTTGATGCATCTCTTTCAAAAGAAGTTGTTTGGGATGCACTAAACACGGGATATCAATGTATACCAAGGAACAAACTTTCGATGCGAGGTTTGGCTCAATGAGTTTGTGTTCAATTTTATCTTTTAATATAAAATTTGTGAGTTTGAAGTGCAGAAATTTGACATGTGACAAATTTAAGAGTATTCTAATTTCATTACGCTTCAGGTTACAAGCGTCTTCTTCTACGACAAAATCGCATAAACCTTCCTAGTCTGATTTTTTCCCCTCTCTATGCGCTGATTTCTTCATCGGCCTAATCTTCTTCACCAAAAAATCTGCCGACTCTTCGCGATAAACTTCGCCGAAGGAAAGGAAATCTGCACCCACAACGAAGGATAGTCAAAATCCGCTGATTCTTGGCAGATTCTTAGCGTCAATTTTGAGATCTGCTACGTAAAGATTCGGTTATTCTTTGGCGTCAATTCTAGAATCAGGTTTGTTTCCAATATTCAATTGGTAATTTCGTGGATTCTAATTCTCTATTCTCAATTTCCTTGATTGTGATCGGAAGGACGTGAAGGAGATTTCCCCGGCTGAAAGTCACGGGCCATGGCTAGCTTCGACTGGGCTGGTCGGCAAGTACGAATGAAATTCATATAATTCAAGCTTAAATTGACATTCATATAAATCTTGAATTCTTTTAGACCTTCTTATTCTTTAAAATCTAAATCATTGCTAAATCTTGAATTCTTTTAGACCTTCCTATTCTTTAAAGTCTAAATCATTTGGACACTTTTGGAATCCTTTTTGGCAAGCTACTTTATTTAAGGCAAGTTAAATGATAACAGAGGTAGTATGTGTAAGTAGTGGTTTTTATTGAAGAGCAGACAAGAGTTTGATTGTTTGGTGCGTGAAACTTCTTTGGGTTTTTAATACTTCAGTCCATCACTTTTCAAGTTTAATAGTGACTCCATCTTTTAACCATTGAGCCGTGTCTCCCTCTTCTTTTAATCACTTCAGACCATACATGCTTATATATGTTTTATCTGCATACTCGCTTTTCATACATACTGTTTTGGTATATACTATGCATTGGTATGCATGTTTAGTGTACACAAAAGTTTTAAACATACTTCATGTTATAACTGAGTGTTAGAAGTCTATATAGTTTTAAACTATATATGCATGTTTGAACTATATGTGTATAATACAAATTATAAATGCTATATAACATGTGATTAATGTTATATATGTGGATTAAAATTATGTTCCCTTTACAAATATCAATACTGATTATGAGGGTTAATGCGTATATAACATGAGAGTTTATACCAATCTTTCGTGCTTATGGCATCATCTACGAAGCACGAAGCACGAATGATTGGAATAAACTCTCTTGTTATATACGCATTAACCCTCATAATCAGTATTGATATTTGTAAAGGGAACACAATTTTAATTCACATATATAATATTAATCACATGTTATATAGCATTTATAATCTGTATTGTGCACATATAGTTCAAACATGCATATATAGTTTAAAACTATATAGACTTCTAACACTCAGTTATAACATGAAGTATGTTTAAAACTTTTGTGTACACTAAACATGCATACCAATCCATAGTAAATATCAAAACAGTATGTAGGAAAAGCGAGTGTGCACATAAAACATATATAAGCATGTATAGTCATGGGCGGATCCAACAAGGAGAATATGGGGGCAGCTGCCCCCAGTGAAATATATATATATATATATATATATATATATATATATATATATATATATATATATATATATATATATATATATATATATATATATATATATATATAATGTTTATATTTAATTGCCCCCAATTAAAAAAAAACTGCCCCCAGCCAGTTTGGCCCAAAACAATTAAATAGCCTAAGACTCGATCCAAAAAGTGGCCCAATTCACCCATTGTCCAATTCCTA